ATGTATATACATATACAGTATTTATACATAAATATATATACATATATGTGTGTGTATGTGTATGTGTGTGTGTGCCTGAATGATCCTAGGAGCTATGCTGTCAGGGGCAATTATAATTGTCCCTGGTAGGGTCTCCCAAGGCAGATTGGTCATAGGTGACAAGCCAGACAAAGAGCGATTCAGAAGATTTTTCAGAAGATTTTATGGACAAAACAAAACAAGGAACTCAGTGTCCCTTGCCCGGACGTGGGTTACCAGGGCCCCACCCTGGAACCAGGCCTGAGGGAGGGGTTCGTTGGCAAGCGCCTGGTGACCAGGTCTCTGCCCATGGGGCCCGGTCGGGCTCAGCCCGAAGGAGCAGCATGGGTTTGCCTTCCTGTGAACCCACCACCTGCAAGAAGGGCCATAAAAGTCGGGTGCATGATGTTATGGGCAGTGGCCGAAGGCGGGGACCTTGGCGCTCTGACCCTGGCTTACCAAAGCTAGCTCTTGGGACATGGAATGTAACCTCTCTGGCAGGGAAGGAGCCTGAGCTTGTGCACGAGGTTGAGAGGTACCGATTAGATATAGTTGGGCACACCTCGACACACAGCATGGGCTCTGGAACTGATCTCCTTGAGAGGGGTTGGACCTTATTCTACTCTGGAGTTGCCCATGGTGAGAGGCACCATCTTACCAGGTATCTGGCCATCTTGGAGTCCTTGGCAGGGGTGCTAGAAGGTGCGCCACCTGGGGACTCCTTTATTCTGCTGGGGGACTTCAATGCCCACGTGGGTAAAGACAGTGTGATCTGGAGGGGCATAATTTGGAGGAACGGCCTCTCTGATCTGAACCTGAGCAGTGTTTTGTTTTGGGACTTCTGTGCTAGTCATAGTTTGTCCATCACGAACACAATGTTCGAACATAAAGGTGTCCATAAGTGCACTTGGCACCAGGACGCCCTAGGTCATAGATCAATGATTGACTTCATAGTCGTGTCATCTGATTTGCGGCCATTTGTTTTGGACACTCGGGTAAAGAGAGGAGCTGAGCTGTCACTCACCTGCCACCCTGATTACCACCTGATAGTGAGTTGGATCAGGTGACGGGGGAAGATGCTGGACAGACCCAGTAGACCCATACACATAGTGAGGGTTTGCTGGGAATGCCTGGCAGAAGAACCCGTCAGAGAGATCGTCAACTCACACCACCGGGAGAGCTTTAACCGCATCCAAGCTGAGGTGGGGGACATTGAGTCTGAATGGGCCATATTCCACACCTCGCTTATTGAGGTAGCTGCCTTGAGATGTGGCCATAAGGTTGTCGGTGCTTCTCGCGGTAGTCATCCACAAACTCTTTGGTGGACACCCCGGGTTAGGGAGGCTATCAAGCTGAAGAAGGAGTCCTATCGGGCCTTGTTGGCCAGTGGGACTCTGGAGGCAGCTGAGGAGTACCGGAGGGCCAAGCGGTGTGTAACCTTGGCTGTTGATGAGGCAAAAGCTCGGATGTGGAGGAGTTTGGTGAGACCTTGGATAGAGACTCTCGGTCGGCTTCGAGGAGATTCTGGCAAACCATCAGGCGGCTGAGGAGGGGAAGCAGCACTTTACTAACACTGTGTTCAGTGACGGTGGGGTGCTATTGGCCTCAACCAGTGATGTTGTCAGGAGGTGGAAGGAATACTTCTTGGACCTTCTCAATCCTACCAGCATGTCTTCCATGGAGAAAGCTTAGTCGGGGGACTTTTGGGTTGATCCGTCCATAACCGTGGCTGAGGTCGACGAGGTAGTTAAAAAGCTACGAGGCGGCGGGGCTCCGGAAGTGGATGAGATTCACCCTTATTTCCTTAAGGTTCTGGATGTTGTGGGGCTATCTTGGCTGACACGCCTTTGCAACGTCGCGTGGACATTGGGGGCAGTGCCAATGGACTGGTAGACTGGAGTGGTGGTTCCCCTCTTCAAAAAGGGGGACCGGAGGGTGTGCTCCAATTACAGTGGCATTATGTGTTTTGTGGATTGGAGAAGGCATTCAACCATGTTCCTCGGGGTAGACTGTGGGGGTGCTCCGTGAGTATGGTATTGGAGACCCGTTGTTACGGGCTGTTCAGTCCCTACACAAGAGGTGCAAGAGTTTGAGAGTTTGAGTTTAAGAGAGAGCTGAGCTATAAGGCAAAGATCTATGTTTACTTGTCGGTCTACATTCCTACCCTCACCTATGATCATGAGCTCTGGGTAGTGACCGAAAGAATGAGATCATGGATACAAGCAGTTGAAATGAGTTTTCTTCGCAGGGTAGCTGGACTCTCCCTTAGATATAGGGTGAGAAGTTCAGTTATTTGGGAGAGACTCTGAGTAAAACCTCTACTTATCCACGTCAAGAGGAGCCAGTTGAGGTGGTTCGGGCATCTGGTAAGGATGCCCCCTGGGCGTCTCCCTAAAGAGTTGCTTTGAGCATGTCCAACTGGGAGGAGACCCTGGGGAAGACCCAGGACATGCTGGAGAGACTTTGTCTCTCGGTTGGCCTGGGAACGCCTTAGAATCCTCCCAGAAGAGCTGGAAGAGGTGGCTGTAGAAAGTGATGTCTGGACCTCCCTGCTCAAGTTGCTGCACCCGCGACCCGACTTCGGAATAAGTGAAAGATAATGGATGGATGGATGGATGGATTGATGGATATATATATATATATATATATATATATATATATATCCACCTCTGTGGTGTTTGATTTTGTTGGTGGGTAAAATATCCTAGAAAACAAACACACCTAGAAAAACTGATTGAAAACCCCTCTGTTTAACCTGCAGTTCAACTGGGATTGTTAAGTTTAGGTAGTCATTTTTATAATATATTAATGTATAATTATATTTTTATATGTATCTGTATAAAACAAACAATTTGCTAAATGGTAAATGGACTGTACTTATATAGCACCTATCTATCTTATTTCAAGATACTCAAAGCGCTTTACACTACAATCTGTACCCTGATTTACCCATTCATACAGCCCTCTACTAGATCTCTACAAAGCTAATTGAACAAATCATTCTAAAGAGACTAATCAGGGCTTTAGATTACATTCATACACTCATGGGACACACATCAGAGGCAACGAGGGGTTCAGTGTCTTGCCCAGGGACACTTCAGCATGTGACTGCTGGTGGATTCGAACCCCCAACTCTCGCACTGGAGGACGACTGCTCTAACCACTCAGCCACAGCCGGCCCCAAACAACCAGAACTTAGCCACAACTGATCAGCCTGAAAGCTGGTTAGTTTGTTTATAACTTTTCAGTATTGAACCAGAAATTTTTCCTTTAAAAAAATGAAACTAACCTTGTGGCCTGTTGAAGGAATCTGTCATTATTACAATAACTCTGAAGTGCCTAAAAAAAAAGGACCTTGCACACTATCAGAATTACAAAACTTACTGTGTTGTTTCCATATCCTTTTGTAATTTCCCTTTCTGGGCATTTTTGAGATGTCCTGATGTCTCATGAAGCGATGACAAACTGATGGACAGCTCCTCTGCTGACACCACAGGGACCTGTTGTCCCTGTGCTGGACGTCCTCCTGCATTGTCTGTGCATCTGCTTGGCCTTGGACTGTCCAAGTCTTCATGGAGGGCAGAAAAACCTGTTCAGGCATTCAGGGCATGTACAGTTTTAGTGTGCTTGTCTTCATAGTTTACAACTCAACAGGTATTACAATATACAAATCAATACTGGGTTGTAAAGGGTTTAAAGAGCACCTTCACTGTGGTCCAGAGCCATGGTCTGCTCAATTTCAGCATAGGTGTGTGACGATGTCTCCTCTTCGCTGGATTTGTTCAATTTGGTTTCAATCAGGTGAACTATATCCATTCGGTTTATCATTGTAAGTCTCTTGATAAGTGTCCTTTCTGCTAAAACAAGAAAAAAACGCCAAAAGGTTCAGTTTAAAAGTCATCACAAGCTTTAAAGGAATATTTCAGTCATTTTAAAGTGTGCTGATGTGTAGAAGTTATGTAGATGACTTTTAGAAAAACCTAAATTAGAGAAAGAGTTTCATTCTAGTAGGATTGAGATGCTAAAAACAAGGACCAACACAGCTAAGATCAAAATAATTGGTGCAACCATAAAACCTCTCTGATGCCCAGATTCTTACAATGGTTCATTCTGAATTGCATGGTTATTTTCCTGGAATTCTGGAGTTATTTACAAGCACAGATACCAGCAGGTTCAGATGCAGCATTTTCTGAAAATCCAGGGCTTGTGTCCAGCTAGATTTTCGTTTTGTTTCTGCAGGAAGAACTGAAAAGATTATTTCTAAGGTTGCGCAAAGGGTGGCACTGGGAATGGTGACAAGCAGCAGTACGTGTGCTGTAAATATAAATAATGAATCCTCTTCATACACCAGAGTTAGTCATGGAGTTCCTCAAGGTTCAGTGCTTGGACCAGTACTCTTTACTTTATATGTGACCTAACTTTACCTTACCTAATATATAATAGATAAGTTATTAAACAACAAGTGATACATTTTCATTGTTATCTGATGATACACAGTTATATTTGTCCATGAAACCCAATGAATTCAATCAGCTACTTAAGTTACAAGCATGTCTTAAAGACATAAAAACCTAGATGACCCTTAATTTTCTGCTTTTAAACTCAGACAAGACAGAGGTTTTGGTATTTGGACCTGAGCATCTTAGGAATATTTTTTTCAATATTTCACTTTCTCTGGATGATATTAATTTGGCCTCCAGTTCTAATGCAAAAACCCTGTTTCCTGTTCACAATAAAATTGTTAAACTGCTCTTGGGCTTGTTGTTGCTGATCCAAAACCCAGATCTTGTCAGTAGAATCTGGCCAAAAATAATGGATCTAGCATCAGCCCAAGAGTGGCGCTCTGGTGTGGATGGAGCCATAAGTAAACTAGAGTCTAATTTAGATGAGATTATGGTTGTGCTGAAATCCATGTCACAGCAACCCTCTACTCAGGACTCTGCTCACACAGAGTCCTGAGTAGTCCATGTCACTGTTCATGCACTTTCTCTTTACCTACTGTTTATTGTATAATGAACCTCGTCTGTCTCCTCCAGAGTTGTTTAGAGGAGAGCCTGATCAGTGCAGACAGTTTATCACTCAATGTGAGATCCATTTTCAACTGCAGCCATCTTCATTCCCCTCTGAATGGACTCGAGTGGCCTACGTCATCTCACTCCTCGCGGGTAAAGCAAAGTCATGGGGCACATCAGAGTGGCAGAGAGACGCTAGGTGTTGTCACAGCTTTGCAGCCTTTGCAAAGAACTTTGCAGAGTATTTGACCCTGTCCTGCCTGAGAGGGAGGCTGCATGCAAATTGTTCTCAGTTAAACAAGGAAACAAAAGATTAATAGAGTATATTATTGAGTTCCACGCCATTGCGGCTGACAGTTGTTGAAAAGAGTATGCTTTAACTGACGCTTTTTTCCAAGGTCTTAATGACAAAATAAAGGACACACTGGCAATCCAAGATTACCCAGAGTCCCTCCAGGAGTTGGAAGACCTGGCAACCCGCATCGACCTACGGCTGTGGGAGAGTGACCGAGAGAGGGGTAACAGGCTGGTGAGACCTTCCAGACCTTGGGGTGAGTCAGAAACCATTTCTCCTACATCTGTAGCCACCACTCCCAAGTCCCCTCTGATGGAGGAACCAACACAGCTGGGAAGAAGCTGTCTCACCCCGAAGGAACGAGAAAGACTGAGAAAGTTTCACTTGTGTTTTTATTGTGGAGAGAATAAGCATACTATTAGCCAATGTCTGTTAAAAGGACCAGATTCAGCAGAAAAGAGGAGGCACCTGCTAAGTCAGATCAGAAAGCCCAGAACCTCTCTCCTGTTCACTGTGCCTGCTGAAATTTTAATAGATGGTAAAGAACCTGCCCGTGTGGCCGCCTTCATTGACTCTGGGGCAGACACAGAGTTCATTGATCATCATTTTGCTCTGTCAGTCGGTATTTAATTAATTCAGTCTTCCAGTACTCACATTCACACTTCTGGCGAGCTGATGGATGACAGCTCCCTTCGGCTTCTCTGCAGTCTTTTATCATCAAACTGACCCGTTTTTTCGAACCGGACTAAAGTTGGTCCCCCTTCCAACCAAATTCGGTGTTCAGTGACTCAGAGAGCCGGACGGTACCGTCCAAAAATATATTTTGGTCCAGGACCGGCCGCTCTACCGGTCACTCTGAGCGCACCCTGCCGGCCAGGTGACCCCTCGAGCTGGGGAGTCGTCGCACGAAGGTCCGGTGTTTTTTCTCTCTCTCTCTGGACCTCAACAAATTTCTCATCTGGACCTTTGTGGTTCTACCTGGTTCCGACAAAAATCGCCAGGTGGTATTTCGCTGGCTTTTTGCTGGACAGGCCCTTGTGGTGTCTTCATAGGTGTGGGAGAAGTGTACCTGTGACAAGGTACACAGGTACCCTCGAACTGGACCAGAACCGAACCGAGTTGGCTGTGGGGGTCTTTGTCTTCAACAGAGCCGTTCTCAGCTTCAGTGAGCAGCCCGTTACTTTTAACGAAGGACTGTCCACCTCTGTAGAATCGCTGTATTTCGCCTGGAGGAGACGCTCTGGTGATTTGAAGCGCCGCCGGACCGGGCCGCCGGACCGGAGCAGAACCGGGCCAGGGACAACTTCAGCCTCTTCGTCTCTCGTGCTGTGGAGCGCCGGAGCCGGACAGGAGCAGAACCGGACTGGACCAGTGACGACTTCAGCCTCAGCCTCTCCAGTCAGTCTCGTTTTTCACCGGGGGTGCCTCTTGTGCTGTCGGGTAAGGAGGTGTCGTGCAGAGAAGCGGAGGAGCAACGTGAATGAGCAGCGCGAAGGAGCAGGGCTGCGTGGTGCTTGAGAGAAGTTCGGAGTTTGTATAGAAGTTGCTGCAGGCTTCCTTCCAAACTCACCTGAATAATAATTAATTTTATTCCAGATCACACTGTTGACCCCTGTTGACCTGAAACGAGCTAGGATCATGCCTTTCACTTCAGGAGGATTTTCTGGCAGCTTGCTCTACTATTTGCTGCAAATTATCTGTTTCTGTTTCTGCCTGTTGATATTGGACCCAGCTTCTGTTTCCCATGGGAGCATCCATTCATCTTCACTGGGGGGCAGGACTATAGTTGGGCCACCTCGTTGGGTTTGTTTGCCCATTTGAACTGTGAAGTTTTATGGTCTGAGACTTTTCTGTATCATTCATATGACTGTCACTATTTTCAGTTCTCAGATTATCTGGAGTCACTGAATCTTGTTAATACACCTGAATCTGCCCATCACTGCAACTTTCACTGTTTTTGGGTTCTGAATGATCGCGTCTTCATTAATGTTTCTCATTGTTCAATTATGGGGGCTAATTGTCACACTGTTAACTCCTGTAATTACACATCAGTCACGAAAAACTCAAGAAAATGTCTGATAATACTGTTGTTACTGCTCTCATGGATTCAACCCAACCCTGGACCCCCCACTATTTATATGACACCAAATGACTTTAAAAACATGTCTGGGCTTCATTTTCTGCATGTAAACGCTCGTAGCCTTCTGAGAAAACTTGATGCCTTGAAAATTATGGTCAGTTCTTCTGGGGCAGATGTAATCTTCATCTCTGAAACCTGGCTCAACAAATCTGTACTCAATAATGACCTGGCAATCCATCAGAGATTCTTTGGTTGCTAGTCCTGTGTCTTCTAAAACAATTCCAAACCAAACTGATGCCTTAGCTGTAAACATCACTTTGAATGAAGGCCAGATCTCATCTGCAGTCTGTTGTTACTGTCCCCCCTCAGCAACACCTGAGGCTCTGTCTGCCCTGATGGAATTCCTTGGTAATTTAAAATTCAAAGAGATCTTTTTGGCAGGAGACTTCAATATTGACTGGGGTAAGTCGACTCCCCTCTGTGATAAATTCAAGGAATGTTGCCTGTCTCTCAATCTTACCCAATTGATCAACTCTCCCACTAGATTAAACAAAAACCATCCTGAAAAATCCTCCATCTTAGACCAATTTCTAACTAATATGCCTCACAAATTCCCTGGTACAGGTGTATTTGCCAATATCTTGAGTGATCATTGTGTGACAGCAGCTTTGAGAGATATTAAACTTCCACCTTCTAAGCCCAGATTAATTCAAAAAAGGGATCTGAAACATTTTGTGAACAGTCATTCCTCTGGGATCTGTTTCACTTTGACTGGCATCGTATTCTGTTAACTGATGACGTGAACTCTGCTTGGAACTATTTTCATAATAGTTTCATTTATTTTGTGAACAAACATGCTACTTTTTGTCAGTTCAGAATAAAGGGACGAGACAGCCCCTGGTTTACTCCAGAGCTAGCTGACCTCCTGCACAAGAGAGACCATCTTTGGGCCACAGCGAGAAAATCTGACTCAGACACTGATTGGTTGAGTTTTCGACAGATGAAGAATAAATGTACAACTGCTGTCAAAGCAACAAAATGCAACTATTTCTTATCTCAGACCTTCAAAAATCTAATGCCCCTTTTCCATTAGTACCGGTACGGGCCGACTCGACCCTACTTGGCCCGGTTCTGAGGCTTTTCCATTAGTACCGGTACTTAGCACCTGTTACTATTTTCAGTACCCTTGGCTCTGTGGTTCTAACCGGTACGAAGAGGTACAAAAACGTGACGTCAGTACACTGTCGGTCACTGGTTGGTCGGGGGCGGAGTCGGGGGCGGAGTCACTGGATCCTTCAGAAACGTTTCAAAACAATAATCCGCCATTTGCAATTTCTCGGACTGGAGCAGCAGCTGGACTTATTTTAAAGATTTTAAAAACAATACTGACAACATCTTGGTCTAATGTTGATGTGCTGGCATTTTTTGTGCTTGGTGGCCGACAACATAATTCAGAGCAAGCTGGAT